ACTGGCCTCTTTTCAAAAGCATAAGGTAGAAGCAACAACAATTTTTTATTTAATATTGGGTCATGACTGCTGCAATGATGTATCAATCATCATATACAACTAAAAATTTACTCTTGCCCAAATTCAATTTTTTTTTTCCTGATTAATATGGCCCCAGTCTCTGAAGGAACACACTGAGTGCTTTCTGTCAAAGCTAAAATCCTCAAAAGATGATTTTGTGTTCTTTGCAAATTAATTTACTACCGTCGTACTCTTATTCTATGCCTTCAAACAATCCCTCTCTTATGCTAATCCTACTGACAATATTCCATGACCATCATCCATGGAAATTGAACGGAAAGAGATGCAAGAACGGGACTCAGAAATAAGCCTCGAATTTGCAGAGGTTGAGGGTGAAAGACAACAACTTGTGATGACAGTCTGTAACCACAAGAATGCCTAGAAGAGCTAAAATATTTGTTTCTTCATGACTGATTTTCATTAACACAAATCACAGTCCCTTTTTCTCCCCATGAAATCAATCATGTTGTCGCTGGAGATTTTACGTTTTGTTAATCTTTGCGAATGCGTGTATTAATCTTCCAAAAAAATTATGGAGGAGCGCAATCTCCTAAACATGCCCCAAGATCACATGATAAATTTGGTATTTTGCAACAAAACTTGTACCTGTTGGGGTTTTATGAAGCATAGAAATTGGAGATACGCAACAATCTACAGCTGAGGAAAATAACTCAAATACAACAAGATTTCCCAGGTCAAAAAATCCAAACCAAACAAAATTTTCAATAGAGTTACTTAGGTCTACGCCTGGAGTAATGATTGTCGTTAGGGTTCCTCTTTCCACTAAAAACGGCTAATGCTTTTCTCATGGGAGGCTGAAGGGGCTTTTTGGCATCCGTATGGTGAGTGAAGATGTCATCAGCCATGACGAAATCATCTCCCTACATGAATGATATCAAAATTGGCATCATTGGTTTTGTCATTAAACATATCAATACATTTGATATCAAGATAATGCATATGAGAAGAAAATTGGGTAACAGATGCAGCAAAAAACTTAAAAGATTTTAAAAAATGAAGAAAATTACCTGTTTATCTATTTTCTTCTTTGGCTTTTGTTTAAGGAACTTGGAAGGAAGTTGATCTTCCCGTAAAATGAGGTTCTTGGCAATGCCGTCCCTCCCACCTTTAGGTAAAGGCAGTGAAAACTGCACATACAAATAACAAGATACACATGAAATACTTTCCCAAACCAAACTTGTTAGAAGACAAGTTTATTGTTGTAACAAATGTTTGAGAGCCAGCGGGTGCAGACAGAGAATCCTACATTTTGATGAAGCATTTAAATCATAAACAAATGACAGGGACCAGCACGTGCACAAAAACCAACAAAACCAACTGCAAAAAGAAACTACAGTCATTTCCAGTTATTTTTACTGCTAAACTTACTTTTGTACCACGAAGTGTTATCCGTGGCCGACGTGCAGCTAAAACAGTTCCACTCTCGCCAACTGTTACAGATACCTTGCGTAAAGTTCCTCCATTTCCGCACTTTGGACAGAAAATCCTCCCACTTTCAACAGTCACAGTAAAGCAGGCGTGGCATTTCCATATCCACCTACAAATCCAATCATACAGACATCTACATGTTAAGCACATGCAAATATAAAAAATGGTGTTCCCAGATCAGGAAATAAAAAAAGGACCATTCACCACCAATTCATCAAACTTCTTAAGTTTTACATGGTTAAAAGCTCAAAGGTATCTTAGTCAGCCTAAAACAAAGAGAGAAAGCTCAAAGGTATTTCTTTGAAGGATGAAACAGGGATTAGTGAAGTTGAAATTCAAAAGGGCAATTTAATAACATATCAATGGTGACTGACAATTTTACCTCTGTAACTGTCGAATCTGCATTCCATCAGGTGCCAGAAGACGTAAACCCATCTGCAGAAGAACATTTTGCATTGCAAAATCACCAGTTACACAAGCAACACTAGACTCAGATAAGGATCTCAGCGTCCAACTTTGCACACTGCTAATGTCATCCGTGTATGATGCATCAACACCTTCACTAGTCTGGCTTGCCATCTCAAAGCAATCTATTCCTCCATTTACTGCATCAACATTATCCCCTTTAACAGG